CCAATGAGTTCCAGATGATTCGGTAGGCCTTCAATATTTCCCTCCTTCCTTCTTCTCTCCCTCCCCCCCTTCTTTCCCTCCCTCCCCCGCTCCTTCCTACTCCCCCTCCCTCCATCTTTCCTCCCTGAGCATGGTAGACCTCTTGGAATCTTTTCTGACCTCCCTACTAAGCTGTCCCCCCCAGCTTCATTATGTTCAGCCCTCATTTGCACATGCTCTTGACACCTGGTGTTTGGTGGCAGAAATGGCTGATAAAATTCCACACTGATTAATTTCATGTTTAATCTAACTGATACTTCTGTAGCCTTTGCAAATAACCTTTTTGAACAAAAACTGCAACGGCTCATTCCAAACCCGATCAAAGAGGTATGCATGACTCACAGCCACTAAATAAACATTGATGCCTGATGGCAGTAATATGGCTATTTATATTCAGAGCCTGATTTAACCAGTGGCATTCCTGTAATAAGATAATAAGCATGAGCTGTTTACTAGAAAAAAAGGAGAGTCTGTGGTGCTGGTGTTCAATAAAATCTCTTAACAGGCAAATGAGTCTCTGAAATTGGTTGGCAAATACATCCAGAATGAGATGTGCTAATTAGTTGCTGTTACTGATTTTCTAAAATAAAGAGTTTAAACTTAAATTAGCCCTGAAATTTAGTACAATAAAAAATGCTGGATGTATGATACGTTGAAAATCTTATAGATTATGCCTAATTTATGTCCAGCGATACAATTAAGAAGAAAAGAACTCTGCACCTAAATCACTAGAATTTAAACAGAGACTAAGAAGAGGTTTTATATGTAGAGAATTATAAGCATAGATATTTGAATCTCAGGTTCGAGGGTTTTTTTTCTATTCAGAGAGCATTTGTAGGTGATCCTCTTGGCTATACTGGCAGAGGTATCTATGACTATAAGCCCTTGAATTTTTAAATAGAAAGATCAAAGGAATGCAAGAGTTATCTTAATAGCATTTAGATACCCTTTAAAAATAGATTAACCTAGGGCGCCTGGGTGGCTCAGTTGGTTGGGCGACTGCCTTCGGCTCAGGTCATGATCCTGGAGTCCCGGGATCAAGTCCCGCATCGGGCTCCCTGCTTGGCAGGGAGTCTGCTTCTCCCTCTCCCGCTCCCCCTTCTCGTGCTCACTCTCTCTCTCTCTCAAATAAATAAATAAAATTTTAGAAATAAATAAATAAATAAATAAAATAAAAATAGATTAACCTATTCAGAACCAAGATCACGAGATTCTAGGTAAGCACAGAGGAGACAATCGTCTGGATTCAGAAATAAACGATGAACACGCCAAGCTTTGAAGCTTCCCCCAACACCTTCCAGCACTGTTTTTCCTCCACTGAAGGAAAAGCAGCAAGCACCTCGTGCGTGCTTCCTTTCTCTTCCTGCTCTCACTCCATGCGGCCCCTTCTACCTGCTAAGGATGCATCTTCAAACCTCTATTTGTACGGCTTCCTTCACCAAGTTGGAGAGGACTTGCTTCTCTGGACTCGCAACTTCAAATAGTGAGATGATCTCAGGAGGCAATCAAATATTTTTTTAAATCAAATATTGCATCTAAACAGATATGGCCACGTAACAAGAGGATTTGGGTTGTGTCTCCACCTTTTTTTTTTTTCTTTTTCCAAAAACCAAATATGAATTCAAGAAACTGCTGTTTGCATTTAGCTGGTGGAGATAATGTTGATTTTCCCAGAGCACATGGTCATTCTTTGAAAGCCAGCTAGATGAGCAGATGTGAGTGCTCTAGCCCAAAGTAGTAATGTTCCTAAAGTCAGCAATGAGTTAATTCATTCATTTGGGTCCTATTTATCTATAGTTAAGCAGACAAAAGTTGATCATTTATTTGCTCTAATTAAGATTTTTAGTCTTTATCAGAGTTACTTTAGTCACCAGGGGTAATTGATTATGTACATCTTTGTTTCCATTTTATAGTGGGGACCCCCAGCTCAGGTAGCAGTGTTTCCAACTATTACTGAGGCCCTAGAATTATGGAGGACAGTGTCATATAGGCTAACTAATAACTGAAATTATAAATAGAATTATGAGTCATAAACAGGTGGTCTTCCCTGTATTTTTCAATGGTATTAAAGTTCTCTTGAAACCAACTCTGGATAGCTTAAGACAAAAGGGAATTTGCTCAAAAGGATATTCATAACCTTACAAGATGTAAGATTGAACAACCACTGCTCAGAAGTCAAGAATCACACCAACTCCAGAGAAATGAAAACAAGAGTTTCTGGGCTCACCCATTTTTGGAACTCAGCAACTAACATCTCCTGGTTCCTTTGTTTCTTTTTTTAAGATTCCATATTCTTAGACAAGAAAATCTGGTTGGTCCAGCTTGACTCAAACAAATGACGTGAACAAATCAGTTATGACTAACAGAAGAGGGGGACAAGGTCACATGATACAGACACAGCTTCTGTGGAAGTCTCCAGAGATAGTAAGATGGTTGTCAGCTGGGCAGCAAACCCAACAGTCCTCTACCAGTGCTCCTCCAAGTACGGGTCCATAGCTTGATGCCAACCCAAGAGCGGATAAAGAGTATGCATCAGAATCTGAATCAACATACTGCTAACTTTCTCAGGAAAGTATTTCTATTAAAAAAAAAAATGTCAGCTGAACTTAGAAAGTGTACTTAGAGATACAGTTTGTTTACATTCTGGTTCATTACTTCTTACCTCCTCTTGGACCAGTAGCAAAGAGTTTGCTGGTAGGCAACTGCCTGTGGACCACTCCTTGAGTAGAAGTCTCTTCTCTTCAGTCCTTGTCTGACTTTATGGGATGGTACCAGAGTAATCAAGAACATAGGCTTTGAAGTTGCCTGGGTTTTAGTTCTTGCTATGCCTAATAGCCGAATGACCTGGGGTAAATAAATACTCCTAGCCTCATTTTCTTAATCTACATGAGAGATAACAATACTACCAGATTTGTCAGGACTCTTTCAATCGCAGGCAGCAGAAGTTCAAATCATTAGGTTAAACCAGAAAAAAATCTGGAAGAAAAAAAATGGCAGTTTATATGGTTCAAACCAATGGTTCAAGCAAAAAGAGATTTTATTGGTTTATGAAACTGGAAAGCATAATAGTGGAGTAGGTACCATAATATATCTGAATCTAGGGCTCAAATGGATAAAGAGAAACTGTCTTTTCCAGCAACCAGAATCAGATAATATGGCATATAAAAACTCTAACTGTCCCCCCTTGGGTCATTCTCCCAACCCTCAGCCCAATCACTATCAAAAAAGACACAGTTTCATGATGGGCCAAGCTTGGGTCATATACTTGGGAGTAGTCAGAGCACTATGATCAACAGATTGGCAGGCCTGTCAGCTAAACCCTTTGTCTTATTTCGTCATAACCCTAATGTCTAGCACCTAATAGGTGCCCCCCAAATTAGGTAAATAAATGATTAGGAAAGGGGTAATGTGTAGCCCCTCTAGTCTAAAGAGGGGGCAGACTATAGCAATAAAATTCCATAATAAATGCCTACATCATATGGCTCTTGTAAAGATTAACTAAGAATGTGACACACATGGGACAGGGCCTGACACATAATGGCACTTTCATCTACAGTATAGACCAGGTCAGGGTAGAAGCCCACATTTTCCATGTGTGACTTGCACGTAGGCGCCTAGGTTTCTCAGTCAACCGAATGAGCTAATAAGTGAACTCATGAATAGACAATGAGAAATCTGGATCCTATATCTTCCCCTGGAAAATGTCTTTCATCCTATTGCAATTTTTATTTTGTCTGAAGTTTTCCTCTGAATAACCAGACAAGAATCATACAAACAATAGGGCAAAAGCAAACAGGCTTTGAATTACAATAGGAGGCATTTTAGTTAGAAACCTACATTGAGAAAACCTCCTAGAGTCTGGAAAACAAATCTTCTTCAGTGAAACTTCAAGAAAACAGGCTGATTTTCATCACAGTTCTTTCTGGTGGCAGAAAAGGGACAGGTGACTTTGAAGAGCCCTTGCCCAGCGACTGGCAGCATTTGTAGGTCACATTCCAATCCAACAGAGGGCAAGGGAAGGGGGACGGGAGCAGGAGATACAATCAGAATGTTTGACTTGGCAGGTGTCCACAGAGCTCATCTAAGTCTAACCCCAGATTTTACTGAGGAGGGAACTGAGGCCTGGAGGAATGAAGGGGCTTGCCTGAGGGTCACCGTGAGGCCCCTGGGAAGGGGCAGAGCTGAGTCCAGATTCTTTTTAGTCCACGTCCAGTATTCGTCTTCCACACCACACCACAGGCAGTGGTGGCTCAGAGTGCCCCAACAGTGCCCCGTCCCCCATGATTAGGTGGACAGGAAAGCAGGCAGGGAATGGTAATACTTCAGGGAGAAATCAGTGAAGACCTTCATGTGGTAAAGGGTCAAAGGATGGGGATTAGTGTACCCTGAAGAATAATCTGTCTCCCACTTTTGGTCACCAATCCCCCATGTATGACTAACCTATACCTTTCCACCTGCCACCTGAAGAGAATCCAAAACGTGAACAATGTTTTTTAAAAAATGACATGTGTCAAGCAATTTGAGCAAATAACAAATTCAGTTCTTTTGTGAACAGTTCATTTTCTAAAATAAAATTCAGGACAAATGAATCAGACAAAGGATATTTGAGCCTTTTCTGAATAGAAAAAACATACATTTAGGTGCCAACATGCTGACTTTGTGGGTTTAGGAGAATAGGCAGGTTATTTGCAATTGGAACTAATCCAAAATCCAAGACATGTGCTCACTTAGAGGGTAAGGGTATCATATTTGTGGTGGACCATAAGTTACCCACCCAATAGTGATTCTCGCCTTCCTCGCTGTCAGAGCTCCCACATTGCTAGGACTGACAGAATGCCCAGCTTCAGTTTATGACTTACATGAGATGTAAGTAAAAGACATCGAGGCTTTCTAGAAAGCCCCCTTTAAAGGGAATGACTCAGATGACAGGCCCCTTCTGTTCCTCTTTCTATATCTTTCAGATGCTGGGGTCAAGTGGCTGGAGCTCTAGAAATCATACTATAAGCACGGGATGAAGATTCACCCTAGGGATTGTGGAATGGCAAGCTGCCCAGACCTTGGATCCCCAAAAAGCTCATGGCACTGCCACATCAACCCTACACTGCCCACTTCTGAACACCTTATTAGAGGAAAGGAAAAGAAAGTTCTGTGTTGCTTAAATCAATTTTCAGATCAGCCAAGTACAGTTTCTGACTGATACAAACACACAGCGTGCCCTTGGCAAAGTAACTTCTTTAGCCCCTTCATGTCTCAGTTTCTTACTCTTTGAAGTTGAGTAAGAGTACTAACCAGTTTTAAAGAACACATAATACAGTGATTTTAATATTCTGTTTACTAAAGCCCTAGAAAATTTTTGGAGGTAGTCCAAAGGAGGAAGGGGGTAAATACATGGGTATCTGAATGCCCAATATTCAATCAGAACAGTTCCTCTTCTATTTGATTTTTATTTTGGGTTTCCAAGTAAGATTTCATTTGGAGGGGGTGAAAAAAGAATTTAAAGGCCAAAAGAATTTGAAAATCACTGGCAGGGAAAAATGTTTAGTCCTTTGTATGTGAGAAGGACACTTGGGGCGTACCACTAATCCTGAGATGATACTTTTCTAACATCGCCAATGGATCTAATGATGCCAGTTCGATGCTTCTTGAGACCAATATCTCACACCTGTAGACCAGCCTAAGGGAGCAGCCTGGGGCCACGGAGCGGTGCAAAGTGCCCTGACCCATGCAGGAATAAAATCAGTCACCCCCACTACCTCCAAGCTGCACTCTAACCCTCTGAAGGATAACAAGCCAGAGAGCCATGCACAGCTGCAATCTGAGGTGTTACATAGAGACTGGAGGAATCTAGGGAGCTGTGTCCAGAAGGAAGGCATTTTGTCCATCACTGGCTCTTGTTACCTCCCATAGCCCTGACCTCTCTAACCCATCAGACTTAGCGTAATTCTTTATTCAAGGGTTCAGTAGTCTTCCATATAGGAAAAAGTTCCCAACTGAGATTTTGGGAAGGCAAAAGGGAACAGGAATGGGAACAGGACCGGGACGGGACAGGAAGGGAAGGGAAGGGAAGGGAGGCAGTCCTGGGCCTTTCACACAACTTTGACTTCTAATCATGCTATCTCTTAGCAGAACATCTCACCTGGGCCTTGGAGAAAGAGCTAAACTTACAAAGATCTTGGGATCTTGGAAATCAGCATCTGTCTGTCAAATCCCCAAAAATGATACACACCAGGCTCATTGGTTATAGAAGTCTCCTCTGCACACTCTGCCACCTCAAATAATAAGCAGCAGCAGAGGGCTGAGGACTGGCATCTGCTCCACCAGAGTCCCTGAAGGAATCCCACCCCTGACTCCAAATTCTCCTTCCCAACTGCCTTGCTTTCAACTTTGACTTGCCAATCAAGCCACGGCTTGTCCTACTCAAGTCCTTGGCTTTGTTTCTCTGAACATGATCATTGCCCGTCTGTTTTTCTTTGTTGGGGGTCATGTCCCAATGCTGAGCCCCCAGCCTCATGAGCTCTGTCCTTAATTACCTCTTGCTAACTCTGCACACTATCTCCAGGCTACATATGTGCCCATTCAGAGCACTCCAAACTGCCAAAATCTAGACTCTTCTGTCTGCCTTTCTTTCTTTCTCATCTTCTCAAACATCTCTACACAAGCACACTTCATTCAAATAGGTCATTCAAATAGCAGCTATCCTATTGCATTGCATCTTACCTCTTTCTTTTCCACCCCAACTCCACCTTTGCAAATACATCCTTCTGGGTAGGTTTTTGAATGATGATGAGGGCAATAAGAGGAAGGATGACATCAAAATTTAATAGATAGAATTTGCAGGGTAATTAAGAAGAGTAGATGGAAGGTCTGCTTCCTATCAGATTCAGTGAGGCAGATGGGAGTGCTAAATTTTGTCTCTTCGCCCTCTGCATGTATTTCTGCCTCTTTTCTATACTCCTCTCTGGATCACAGGGGTTGGAAGACTTAAAACCATATCTTCCTGACTCCTTTTCTGCTAGGATTTTAGATATGATTTACCTTCTGCCATTAAAATGTCCTAACGTGCTATCTGGCGTACAGAAGGGAAGCGGAGGTCATTCTTTCTGGGACAGCAGTGACTGATGAACATGCTCCCACAAACACAAGCTTTCACAGTAGCCAGACTTCATGTTACACTCTCCAATGACCAGCCTCAAGGGTAATGGGCAGGTGTCCCTACCGGCAGCGATTTCCTGACCTCTGGGTAATAGTAGAGAGTAGATGGAAGAGAAAAAGAAGTCTTACTGGATTCAGTAAAGTGGATCAAGCCACATGCCTTTGGCTCCAGCTACTTAACCTCTCTTCTCCCCCCACCCCCATTACAGGGTCAAATAACTGAGACACTATTTCTTATAAATGAACTTTAAAATAAGTAGTATTGGAATAACTGATAGCCACAGATACAAGTCTGGTTTAATGTTCAAAAATCAATCCATATAGTCACCCACATTAATAAAGAGAAAAAATCCCTTGTGATTGTATCAATTGATGCAGAATGAACATCTGATAAAAATTCAACACCTATTCATGATTTTAAAAACTCTCAGAAAACTAGGAATAGCAGGAAACTGACTCAATTTGATAAAGAACATCAATGAAAAATCCCATAGCTAATAAATTGTAAAAGACTGAATGTTTTTCCCCTAAGATCGTGCACAAGGTGGGGCGCCTGGGTGGCTTAGTCTGTTAAGCATCTGCCTTCGGCTCAGGTCATGATCCCAGGGTCTTGGGATCAAGCCCAGCATGGAGCCTGCTTCTCTCTTTCCCTCTGCCATTCCCCCCTCTTGTGTTCTCTGTCTCTCTCTCTCTCTTTCGAATAAATAAATAAAATAAAATAAAATAAAACAAAATAAAATAAAAGATCAGGTACAAGGTAAAGAGGTCTGCAAAGTTATCTGCTCTCATCACTGCTATTCCTGTGATCTAGCCAGCTCAATAAGGCAAGAAAAGAAAATAGAGGCATACAGATAAGAAAGTAAGAACTAAAAATGTCCCTCTTTGCAGATGCCACCATGGTCTACATAGAAATCCCAAGGAATCTGAAAAAAACATTCTGCAAACTAGTAGGTTCAACTACATCACAGATACAAGATCAACATACAAAAATCAATTGTAACAATAGAAAAATGAATTACATTTCTATATTCTTACAGTGACTTTGTGGACACAAATTAAAAATACAATACCATTTATAACCATTTATACACCATTTATCAAATAATACCATTTATCAAAAAAATATAGCAATGGAGTGACTGCTATTCACAGGTCTCTCAGCTGCTAGAGAGCCCCATTCTGAGATAAGACACCTCTCCACCCTGACTCTAGTAAAGAGGTCAGGAAACCTTGAGTAAGAGTAGAGGTACTAATTTCGGGCAGTTAATTACATTTTTTCAGCATCCATCTCCCTGAAGTTTTCACTGGGCAAATCCTTCAGGAGGACATCCCCATTAGCTATTCATTTTTCTTTTGCACTGACTGGAGAATGAAGCGACTGTTGGCTGTGTCACACAACTCGTTGAAATTCACCCCTGGGTGAAGTGATCCTCAAATAATTACCAAATGTAGTTCAGGTAACTGAATTAGTGAATTACATTGGCTCCTTTGAGATGAAAGACTCTTTAGGAATGTGAAATACTTTGGTTCTTTGTTATTAATAACTTGAACAATGGAAGAACCCAAAGTAGTATTCAATATGCTCCAGGAATGGGATGACTAAAATTAAAGAATGCAATTGACTTTCATTTTCCATACTTTTCATTTCAATAGTCAGGACTGAATGTGACAAGTCATCAAATCCCCTCTGAGGTTAATAAGGCATCAACTACAGAACTCTGGGAAGAGAAAAATTCAGCCAAAGTGTGGCAAGTAGGTGGGTCCCCTTTCTATGGTTTATTGTCATTTCCTCTCACCCACCCTGTTACAGTTCTCTACGGGTGAAAACCTACCCTGACTTGCTTTCATTTTCTTCTGCCTTAGTCTAATTTTCCAAAATTAAGTGTCTCAACTACTCGCCCACCCTTCAGACAGACAATTGTACCCATCACTTGTACCCAACAGAGGAAAGTAGGATGCTCTCAGCTTAGTGCTCTGCCCTGGGTATGACAAAGACAGAAGCATAGAGGTGAATCCCCAGCAGAGAGTTTGACCTTGGGGCAGGAGGAATGGGAAGTGGTAAGGGAGGGGGCTTAGGGCTGGCAAATCAAACCCCAGCCTATGTGAGGTTGGTGGAGAGCTGAAGAAGGTGGAGATGCTGGATACAGGTGTCCTGCATTTATTAAATTAGATTTACAGTTCCTCATTTTCAGTTTTCATTTTGAAAGCATTGAGGGTTTTTCTATTTCTCCTCCTTGCTTTTCAAATACCTTTTTAAGTGTAATTTATTTGTTTTGGAATTGGAATAGGAAATCCATTCATGTAGTTCATAAGTCAAAGGCATACAATTTTACACAGTGAAGTCTCCCTCCCTGGCACATACTCCAGCCCTCCAGTTCCCCTCTAGAGGCATCAGGGTCACTGATTTCCTCTGTTTCCTTGCAGAAATATACAAGAAAATTTGTGCAAGGCACCTCTCACCATCTTTTTTTTTTTAAAAGATAGAATTGATTGATCGATTTGGGGGGAAGGAGACAGGAGAGAGAGGAATCTCAAGCAGACTCCGTGCTGAGCATGGAGCCCAACGTCGGGTTCGATCCCATGACCCTGAGATCACAACCCCATGACCCCATCAGGACCCCAGTGGAAATCAAGACTCCCCCAACCGACTGCGCCACCCAGACACCCCACCTCTCACCATCTTTTATTTACACAAATGGCAATCCACTATTCTGTTATATTCCTTTTTTTTGCTTAATATATACCAGAGGTCACTCCACACCAGTACACAAAGAGCTCCTCAATCTTTCTCCATGATGCGTAGTAATCCATTATATTAACATAGTACCATTTGTCTAACCACTCTCCCATTAGTGATCGTTTCCATTATTTCCTTTTTTTTGATACTACAAAAAATGCTGCAATGAATAAACCTTGTTCAACAAGTGATTTCCACATCTAGGAGTATGTTGTAATTTAATAGAATTGCTAGTAATAGAATTATTATAAATAATTCCTATAAGTAAAATCACTGAATCAAAGATTATATATATTTGTAATTTTGATAGAGACTGCCAAATTGCCAATCCAAGTCACCTGACCCAATATCCTTCACCCACTTTTGCATTGCATTATTGGTCTTTTTCCTAAGGATTATGTAGCAATGAATTGCAAATATGTTTCCCAATTTGTCTAATGACTTTTGACTCCCCTTTTGGTTTTTTTTTGCATGCACATTATTAAAAACATGGTTGAATGTTTCAATCTTTTATTTTATAACTGCTATAATTTGTGTCATATCTTAAAAGGTTTTCTTTGGTCATAAATTACAACCAAAAAAAAGAGTCCATATGTCTTCTCGTATTTTTATGGTTTCACATTTTTATATTTAAAATCTTGGACCCATTTGGAATTTCTTTGGTAAAGTATGAGGTATGGCTCCAATTTTATTTATGTATCCATTGTGATAGCTGGCTACCATGTTGTCCAAACACCACTGATAAAACATCTAGTTTTCCCCACTGATTTGAAATGAGACCTGTATTATTTGCTAAATCCCTGTCTGTTTTGGGGTCTCCTTCTTGACATTGATTTTGTTTCAATTTCTCTATTCATGAGCCAGTGGTACCCTATTTTAATGTTTTGGAACTTAACTAAAATTAATTGTACTACAGTTTTTAAAGCTTTACTTATCTATCTCCCCAAAGCAATGAGGTTTCTTCTCTGCGTCTTATAACTTTGTTCACTTCCCCTCAGATAGCTCATGACCAATTTTTTTCTTAATCTTCCAGAAAAAGAAATTTGGCTTCTACCAGCTGAGTGGCAGAGGCAAATAAATGGAATAACGTTGGGCCTATAAGGAGAAAATCACAGGAATATCATATTTTACTTTTCCAAATCCTAGTGCATGACAGAGTCTTGGGGAACATGCTCTTTTGTTTCTAAGGCCATCACTTTAAAATCAAGTTATATTTGATGAATATTTATTATATGGCAAGTTGTTTCAGTTAGGATGTTTTTGGCTTCAAGTCATAAAAACAGATTCAAGCATCTTTAAACAATAAGGAAATGCATTCATTGCAATAACTGTAATTCTTAAGGGACAGAGGGTTGGGTAGGCAGTTTCAGTGGCCCAGCCATGTGATTACAGATCCAGGGTCTTACCATCTTTCTGCTCTGCATCCTCGGGCATCTGCTCCATCTCAAGCTGATGGCAAGATGGCTTCATTAATGCCAGGTCTCCCCTCCAGACATGACAACACCCTGAGAAAGAAGAGACAACATCTCTTTTGTTCTCTTAGGAGCAAGAAAACATTTCTCAGAAGTCTCCCATGTCTCGTTGGCCAGAATTGGGTATAATGCCCATTCCTGAGTCAACCTCTGGCAACAGGAATGTGATTACCTGCAGTCCAGACAGACCCACCCAATGAGGCTGGGGAAGGGTGAGTTTCCTCTAAGGCACACGGCTGCTTGGAAGAACACACATACCCGCACAAAACCTGGATTCAAGTAGTAACAGAAGTGGATAATGGATGCTGTTAACTAGTGCCCCATTTCCCTCTCTTTCTCTCTCCTGGCTGGATTCCTTTGCCAGACATCCAACAGTGTCCTCCCCCACACATGCTTACCGTTTGAATGGTAATGTATTAACTACAAACTCATTTATTCAATAAGCATTTACTGAACTCATACTAAACACCCAATACCGTGTGAGGAGCTGAGGACTGGGAAAAGGAAAGACAGGGAACCTGATCCTGATCTCAATGATGTCATGGAAGAGCAGAAAATTGAGGAATTCCACAGTACCATGATAAATGCTATGTCCATAATTTAAGGGTGCTATGGGGGTCCTAAAGACTGAGCAACTTCGTGGGGGAAGGGTAGAACAAACAGGGACTATTCCAGCTGAACTTGAAAAGATGAGCAGGTGATGGAAGAAGAAGAAGTAGGGGAAACAGCTGTACAAAGGCCAGAGAGGACACTGGCGTGGTGCTGAGGTTCTGTCAAGCTGTTGAATTCGGGGCTGCAGTGCTACTCTACCCAGGACACAAAGGCACCTGGGGGGGAGCTTTGGGCCTGGCTAGCAACTTCTGTTTGCACTGTTCAAGAGACGTCACCAGTGGATACCATCCCTAAGAAGTTCTGGAAGCAGTTCAAGCTAATTGTAGCAAGCACAAATAGAAGATTATTAATTAACCTTCTAAGGTCACAGACCACATCTCAGAGACCACTAAATCTTCTCTCTCACTTCACAGTCAAGCTCCTGGCAAAAAGATATCCATACTAACAGTCTCCTCACCTCCATTCAATCCTCAACTCCAACCCACTGATGGTAACAATATGGTGGTTGCTCCTGCTAAGGTCACTAGTGGCCTCAATAACTGCAAGACACCAAACTGAATAAAACCACCACCACCAACAACAACAACAGCAACAACAACAACAACAACAACACTCTCACATTCTACCTTCTCAGCATACTGACCTATGTATAATTCACTAATTACCTTGATTAACATCTTTAGAGACCCCAGGCAGCGAAAGTATGATTTCTCGCTCCCACTTCAATATGAAATTAGAATTTAAAACAATCCTAAATCATATTTTTTCCACAAGGACTTCATTTTTTTTTTTTTTTTTGAAATACCAAATTCTTTCAAAAACAAAATCAATCTCTCTGGCTCTGAGTACTCCTGTTTGTTTAAGCACATGGGTGGTCCACCAGGGGAATAATCCAGCAATAAACACATTTGTATCTTGTTTGTACTGGGCTAAACAGTGTTCTCCCAAAAGATCTATCCATCCAGAACCTCAGAATGTAATCTTATTTGGCCTTTGCAGATGTAATTAAGGTAAAGATCTTTAGATGAGATCATCCTGGATTAGGGTGAGCCCTAAATCCCATGACAAGTATTCTTATAAGACACAGAAACAGAACCGTAGAGACCAACGAATATGTGAAGACAAAGGCAGAGATTGAAGCAATGTATCTACAAGTAAAGGAATGCCAAGAATTATTGACAGCCACCGGAAGGTAGGAGAGAAGCATAGAACAGATTCTCCCCCAGAGCCTCCAGCAGAAACCACCGCTGCTGACATCTTAATTTCAGACTTCTGGCCTCCAGAACTGTGAGAAAATACATTTCTGTTCTTTCAAGCCACCCAGTTGCAGTAATTTGTTACATCAGGGCAAGGCATTATTGCAACAATTCTCATGCTTGCAAACACACACACACACACTATATATATATATATATATACACACACACACATATATTGCCTGCACTTTTCCGGGGGGATCCATGGCCCAATTACCCAGCAGCCAGTACCTAAGCCCATTTCCACACTAGCTGGGTTTCCAGAGAGCCAAAGCCCTGTTCAGTAATAGTAATATGCTGGCTTTCTCCAACATTTACATCCTCTGTTCACCAAGGAATGGCTAAAGGAGACTGGGGGTCCCCTGAGTGGGGACACAGGGTAACTGCCAGGGTCCCCACCGCTGCTCCATCACTGTAAATGAGTAGACCTTACGAATGAATGGGTCCACTGGGTAGTTTAACTAGCGTCGGAACAAAGTCAAACATTTTGTTCTGGAATCTTGGACGTCCACAGAAAAGGCCTGAGGTAGAGGCAAACCAGAACACAGGACCTCTCCTCCCTGGAAGGCTACCCTTCTGCCCTCCCCTGCCCCAACTCTCACCCCTTTCCCAATTCTCCCCTCACCCCTTTCCCAATTCACCCCTCACCCTGGTGAACGCTCCCAGCCAGCCCAGGCCT